GCTATGTCATCATACATGGAACATACATATTCACCAATTCAAGTAAAAAGGACAAATTAGGGGTGAATTTTTTTTTTTCTTGAAATCTCTTTTGTTTTCTGGAGTTTAACAGATTATTTTATGCTTAAATGCAGCTTTGTAGAGTGGACCCCCAGCAACTACAGCAAGCCTTCCAGTGGTAGCCCAGTTCCTTGTCCAAGACAGAGGCTCACCCCTTCCACGCCCACCTTGCTACCACCCCAATGTAAAACTATGATTTAATGCAGATGCTATACTGAAACCTGTGCGCTGTGCAGAAACTCACTTGTTAAGTATCTCCCACATGGATAACACACTGATGCTCGGGGCAGAGGGTAGGTCTGGCTGTGTGTTTGTGTCTGGCAAAACAGTGCTGGGGATTCACTTGCAGAATCTAAACATTATGGAGGTAAATACTCTTCAAAAGAAAACTCACTTGTTTCTAAGCCTGAAAAAACAGCAGGCTTCTGCTTGATAACACAAGGTGAACTCTGCAGCATTCTTACTTTGGGGAAGTGTTTGGAAAAGGCAGGGGGAAATACTGCAGGGATGGACTTCAAAGACAGTAAGGTAACGCTTCCTGGGTTTTCTTTGCTGTATGATTCCCCTAGTTTTCTCCAGCATTATGGAACTGCTGATACTTTACCTTCAGTTACAACAACTGATTACCATTTCTGTAACTGTTAGCACTGAGTAGAGTAGCAGCTGGATGCCTTTCCCAGTTTCAGTAACCAAGAGATATTAGAGTTTAGGCACACATTATAACTTTTGGCTTCTTGTACCTTCAACCTGGTGGAGCTCAGCATGCACCACCAGGAGGTGACAAGGAAGGAACAAGGACCAGAAGAAAGGACAAGAAGGAACAAGCAAGAAATATAACCTGCTTGAGCACATTCAGCTCGCCAACCACAGAAAAGCAATGGACCTAGCCTCACTCTCCACATGCCCAGGAGAATAAATACCACATTTCCCACTATAGAAATGAAAATAAGGAGGAGAGGCACTGGAGATCCTCAGGACTGTCCTCCCTAGCTTAACTTTTGCTTGGAGTTAAAACAGATAATCCTCACCATCCCCAAACATACAACGCTCTTGTCATTTTATAGTTCTGAACATTTTGAGCTATTGATAGTTATGTTTGGTTCCTTTGACAGCTTCATGCTGAAAGAAGCATGCCATTTCTTTAAAATGAATACACAAAATTTCAGACTAAAGAAATGCTTTGATCCCACACCAGCAGGCAAGAACTATATTTCACTCAACTGACAGAGAAACAATGCACTGGCATTTTTGCTTTATGGTAAAACAGGCAGTAACAAAAACCCAACAGCGCCACGAAGGAGCATTATGTACCCACCGACATTGCCTTCAATGCCTCATTCCAAGGCAGAGGTCACAGCTGGGTAACACGAGCACATCCCTGCGATGCACAACTGCCTCAGTGCAACACCGGGCGTGAGCTAAGACCTTGGCAGATGCTCTGCTGTCACATCCCTCTCATCACCAGCAGCCCTGAAGCAGGGATTTGCACTCCTTCTTCCCTTTGGGCTCCTAACACACAACATCCACCAACAAGCCCCTTCCACCATCACTAGCAGGCTGCAATAAAAAAAGCCTGAGACTAAGCAGCATGCTTATGGTATTGTCACAAAAAGCTGTTCCATGCTTTTCAAAGCAAAAGACCCTTACATAAAAATGAACTCATTCTGAGAAGGCAGCTTAATTCTTCCATGCTTTCAATACTTGAGTTTGCTGAGTGAATAAAGGTTGTGCAAAGGGTGCTGCACAGCTGCAGAAATAATACATGGTACAAGTACCCACTGAAATCACTGATACCAATACAATTCATACTTCTTTAAAGTTATCTATAAACTGGTTTAATTAAATATGGAACAACTGCAGGAAATTGCTTATGAGTAATGAAAGCTCCAGATGTAGCTGGCCAGGGGATCTAGCACAGTAAATGTTTTCAGTTGCAAAATAGCTCAATTCAAAATTGTTTCTCCCTGCCAAGTTGGCAATTCATATTCAATTACGCACAGGTACAGTGGCAACATTTTTTACTATGGTACAACGTTATTTCATTTTACAAGTGAAATTGCTTACTACATGCATTTGACAGCATTTAATAAAAATCTAAATACCTCTTAAACACCTGGTTCAAAGGATTATGCTTCTTTTCCCAACAGCACAAATTACCAAATCCTCACGCAACTTATGTCCAGCTCAGTAAAGTAAAATACATACCACCATTTCAGTCTTGTACATAGGTCAGAGACAAAGGAAAACCGAGATAAAAATACTGTAACCTCATATGGCAACTTTCAGACATAGGTTTGAGAAGCACTGTCTTCTGCAAAAAATCCAAAATCTGGTTTGCATAACTATTTAGTATAAAGGCAGTTGTCAGGGTGTCCATGTGTTAAAAGACCATTCATAGTAAAAAAGGTGATCAAGTTCTGCATCACAAACATCTATCAAGTTTTCAAGAAAATACTCCTCAAAGATATATTAAACACATCACTCCATTAACAGACCAAAGAACACATTAAAATTAATAATCTTTTTTGGTTAAAATGCAAGACTGAGAAACCTTTGAAAAATCCTTGGAGGGTCTCCCAGATGCACTTAACCCAAAGTCATTTAGATATAATGGGACTACTGTGTTCACACTGGCCAGCTTCTCCAAGAGCCGTAAAACAATTTGACATACACAAACTATGGGAAGCTCAGACTGAGAAAGGTAACAGCTTTGCTTGGACATTATATAAATTGCATTGTAATGTGGAAACAAAGCAACAGAAATAAAATCTTCTTTCATGCCCCTCCTGCATTGGGCAACTCCATTAAACAGATTTTACTCACAAACTGACTCTGAAATTAAAACTGGACCTGCGTCAGAGACAGTCAACATAGATAGGGTTAGATAAATCAGCATTTGTATGTCAGGAATGCCTGGGAGCTTCACCTACCAATTCAAGCAATCTGCCAAGTCGTTAAGGCAGAAATCTGCACAAACCCAATTTCCCTATCACTTTTTCACCAAGCACACATTTTAATCAATAGACATATGCTTAAGTGTGAGGTTTTGTATTCTGACAAAGTAATTTTAAGGATGGCAGCCACTTCCCAGTGTGTAGGTTAAGCAAAGCCACAAGTACCCTAAAGTCATCTCAAAGAAGTACTGCCAAATCACCTCTTGACAAAGCACTCTGTCAAGCATGCTGTCACTCCTCCTGAGCATTGCCTTTTTTTTTTTTTTTAATACCAATGTCAGACATTGTGGGACAGCTCAGTGTGATCCATAGGAGTCATTTTAGATAATGAGGGCAAAATAAGTACATTCAGCATGTGTTTTAAAATGTTTTCTATTCAGAACCCCAGTGCTCCATCTTTAGGTCTCTGATCAATCTGTATGCAAAAGGCATGATTCATAACCGCCAGCATCAAAATAACCATATTCTACGTCTGCATGTCACCGGCACAGAAAAAATTAGCTTTCAGCCCCGAACTCGGCATTTGTTCCAATGCACTAGGCGCAGGTCGGACACTGTGCCAAGATGTTTGTAGGACAACTGCTAATAGTACTCATTCTGCCGCTGCCCAAGAGCCCACAGAAGAGGATTATTTCCTAGAAAGCCCAGAGAGCTGGGGAGCAGGGCTGGAGCCCCAGGTGCACCTTGACCTTTCCTGGCACCCCCACCCACCAGCCTTAGATAATCCATGGAAAAAAGCTGGAGAAGAATGAAAGACGGAACAGTGAAAGACTAGAGAGAAAAAGAGGCAGAGGGCAGAGTGCTGGAGGAAAAACAGTGGAGCCTGGATAGCTGTATTTACGAACACAGCAAGTACCAGGAATTTTATTTTTCGCATCTAGAAAGCACAGAAGGATCTGCACATACTGGATGGGTATGTACCACCTTTCAGAAAAGTTGTCCCAAATATGAGTGACAGAGCACTCATGCTCAGGGCATGGTTCTCTGCAGCCTTTCAGTGACCGAAACACTCAGTCATTTATGAGGATAAGTCATCTCTGTGCCCCGAGCTCTTACTTTCTCTCTCAAGATGTAAACAGAAATACAGAAACAGACAAAAATACACACAGTGTACTTCAAGCAGCAACATTTATTTAACATAAAACTACTGATAAAAGAATTAAATTAAAACCAAAGGAAGCTTCTCTTGAGCAGAATACTACTACATACCAGTGGTACACACTGATGAGCATTTTCTGAGGTTTACACTAATTGACCAAGAACACAATTTGCTTTTTCACGTGCCTATTAGAAAATTCAGAAATGCGACTGGCAATAAGGCCAGCTTTGCAGCCCCCTGCAGTTCCAGGCTTGAGTCATTTAAACGAAGACTGAGGAGTTTGCAAAAGAAAATTGTAAGAGGTAGGGTGAGAGAGAGCACAGTTTCAGTATCCTTGAGTTTTTAGCGGCTAATAAAATGATTGCATTAGATTTCATTGCCTGTCACCTACAGGGCCTGATAGGACTGTGCAATAAGGAATAGCGCCTGTGCGGTTTTCAGGTGGAAAAAATAAAATAGCAGTAAAATAAACCCCTCGGAACGTGTCGGGCAGGCGGCTCTCCAGTGAAGTTCGGGGATGCCGAGCCGCCTGCTGCGGGGGGGGGCAGCGCCGAAGGGGCGCCGGGGAGACGAGAGGATCCTGCCGATGCATTTTCTGGCGCTGCAGCCGCGGCCCCCGGGCTCTCCCGCCGCACGGCCCCTCCGCCGTTAGCCGTGCCGGGGGCGCCAGCAGCCGGGACCCCGGCCGCGGGTGGGAGCCCACGCGGCGGGACCGGACCCGCACCGCGGCACCTGCGGGTGGGAGGACGCGAGCCCCGGGCGACCGCGCCTCGCTCGCCCCAACTTCCCCGCGCCTCCCGGGCAGCCCCCCTCCGCTGAAGTGCAGAGAAACGCCGTGAGACCGGGGCGCAGCCGCTTCCCCCCCACCCCCAGCGCCCCCCACGTACCATCGCCTTGCCGTGCGGGGCGGCGGGTCCGCGGCGCTGCGGGTACGCCCGCTGGTCTCCGCCGCGGTCTCGCTTCTCGCGGCCGGCGGCGCCGCCGCGCTGCTCCTCGCCGGCGTCGAGGGAGGTGAAATTCCAGACGAGGAGGGTCTGCAGGAGCAGCACGGTGAGCGCCGCCACCAGCGCCGAGCGGGAGCGCCGCGCCAGCCGCCGGGCGCACGGAGCGGCCACCATCTTCGCTGCTGCCGCGCTCCCGAGAGCCGCCGCATCCGCCGCGGCACGGAGTTTTCAGCCGGGCAGAGCCAGACGTCAGCAGGAGGAGGGCGGAGGTGGGGAAGGAGGGCGGGGGGGGGAGGGGGGAAGAGGAGGAGGAGGAGGAGGAGGAGGAGGAGGAGGAGGTGAGCGCGGTGCGTGGGGATGGGGGAAGCCGGCGGGGAGCCCTGGCAGCTAGACAACCCGCGGCCGGGCCAGCCCGGGGCGAGGGGTGGGGTTGGCGGAGGAAGAGGAAGGAGGAGAAGGAGGAGGGTGGGCTGAAGGCGGGGGAGGAGCGGCAACAGGGGCTGCTGCTGGCGCTGCCGCCGCCAGCGAGACCCGGCCCTGTGTGAGGGAAGGGGGCCGGGGCGGGGCGGGGCGGGGCGGCTCCGCGCCTCACGGCAGGCGGGAGAGGGGAGGGGGCGGCCGGCGACTGCCATCTTCTGAGGGAAGATCGGCGGGCGGGAAGCGGGCGTGAGGCGACGGGCGCGAGGAGGCACGAGGGTGCCGCCTCGCGCCCGTCGCCTCACGCCTGGCTGCCGCCTTCCCCCGCTCCCAGCGGGCAGGCGGTTCCCCTGCGGAGGTTGGTACTCGGCCCTCTATCATTGTTATTGTTATTTTTTTTTTTTTTTTTAACCGACTTGAAGCCAATTCGCGCCGAACTGACCTGCAGCCGTTCCAGATGGGGATTTTCTGTTTCAGCTGGCCACGTTAAAAATGGCCGCAGCAAAAAGGCGGCGTGGTGCAGCTTGTGCTCCCTAATGAAAGAAAATGTCAATAAATTGTCAGAGTTCCACAGCTTATCAACAACTTCGGGTATACTCGTTAATTTCCTTGACGCGTAGCTATCGACCAGCCTTTACTTGTGAAAGGCGGTTACTCCGACTCTGCTCAAAGTAGACATGAGCACGACGTTCATTCTGTGCCCACTTCTGTTTGTGTGGGTCCTGCCGATGGCCAAGTGCTTTGACTGCTTACAGCATAGGTCATGCCTTTAAAGACACTGCCATTTCCCCACATCTGGCAAACAGCAGTCCCCATGTACAACACTGGCAAAAAATGAGTGCAAACTGTTTCCCAAGCAAAAATGGGCCAAATCCTCCAAGAGTGAGGTTTTTTTTTTCTGAAGCAAAAGAGTCATTGGCAGCATTTGGCCACAGCAGAGTGAGAACAAGAGCAGGGTACAACACCTCCACAGCCCTGTGAGGTTTGCAAGTACCAGGCATACGCACAAGGTGACTGTAATTAAATGCCCAGTGTCTCAAGCATACGTAATAGATGACTTCAGTTGCCTTTTTCTCCAATACTGTTATTGGCTTTCTAATCTGAAAGATCTCATTATCTGATCATAGTAGTGAAGCAAGGCATTTTTTTTTTAATCTGCCTGCACAGTGCCTCTTTTTGTAAGCCTAATTCCATTTACAAACCAAATCAAAAGGTGAAAAATAATATCTTCCGATAAGGACAGTTGCTTTTTCTAAATGACAGCCAAGTAGGATTTTCACAGACTGGCAGGATTTTGTTTGCATTTGAAGTGCTTTAGTTTCTGAGCTGAAGAACAATGAAACAAGTAGTAAGATTCAGAAGCATCCTTTATTAAGGGAATATTCTTCATGAGTGAGGCTATGAACAAAATTTCACAAGATGTATCTTTTGTTGCAGTGTTACAAAAGCAGATGAAGTACATAACATGTTAGTGGTAAGAAGCATTGTGCAAATGTTTAGCTTTACAGAGGTGTGCATGATTGAACAAACAGGCTTTCTAATATTACAATTATTTTTTAATAATAATCTTGTGATCTGATGGAAGAATCAGGTTTAGAAATAAATGATCTGTTGTTCCTAACACACTAATTTTGAGTTGCCAGTAGGAAATTGTATCCTCAAGAAAAAAACCAAGGTGGTGTTCCATACATGATGGTTCTTGGGCTCTTTGGTCCTGTACTGTCCTCTGATGTTGTTGAATATTCACTTCACAGCAACTCTGTTCTGATGTAAAACCATCAACTCAGTACAGTTACTCCTTATGTGTAGAGTAGCAAGATCTGAATCAAGCCCAAATACACACATGTGGTTTCAAACAGGGTCACAGTCAGGGTGTCACTGACTTCAAGGTATCTCTAAACGGAGAGGTCAAAATACATCATTATGAACTTCCAGGAAAGTCAGCACAGAAAGGCTTCTTTCTGTGTGAAGGCTGAGCATTGTCTGGCTGACCTTCAGTTCATGCAATGGGACAGCGTCCGTTTTTGCCATCTGTGGTAGTGACATACTGCTCTTTATGGGCAGAGAGCCCGTGATAACAAATTTTGACAATGCCAGGCTTCTGTACCAGTTGCACATGCATCAGATTTGCTGGTCACACAGTACAGTGAAGTGAGCTGTTTGAACAAAAAAATTAAAAAAGATTCAAAGTGTCTGCTCAGCTTGGGAAGTTGATGGATAATTTTTATTCCAAACCATCAAATAATTAGGCATTATAAATACACTCCAGCAGATCTGCTGACAAATACTAGATAAAAGTGTCTTCTAGTTGGGATTAAGTGTCTTCCTCTCCACAAGGAAGTTGTGGTCTTAGCACATGGTTGCCACATGCAGCCTTTCCTTGGGCTTTTAGAGGACAGGAGGTACTCAAGGAACCAGAAAAAAACAGGCTCTGAACAGTCCAAATCACCAAAAGCTCAGGGCCTGGTTCTGATCCTGTGTACCCCAGTGAAATGGGAGACACATTCAAACAGATGCCCTAAAACTGCTAAAAGCAACATTCAAGCCAAGCAGTGTTTTAGCACAGGGCAATGTGGCTCTTTATAAAAGGAGGACAGCAGTAATTATGACCAAATTGTGATCCATGTTCCTTAAAATTTTTACTACCTATTGGAAAATTTCCTCCAGATTTTCAGGGGCAATTTCTATACCAGAAAATGTTTGTGGATTTTCTTAATCTCTGTAGATAATTACTGTGACTGATAAGGCAGTGAGCAACAGCAGTGCATGTTCAGTCTCACGTGTGTCCTACTGAAAGCATGTCTGGCAGGAAGATTTGTATCCAAACCACAATAATTTATAGGCCATAAAGATCTGAGTCTTCAGTGTCAAGTCAGCCGTATATGGGTGGGAGCCTCAGCATGAGACACTTCTGCACTGAGTGAAAAAGCGGAGCAGGGAAAGGAGCAAGCTTCCTCTCTGACATCCTTCTTTCCCTGTATTCATAGAGATTATGTAAAATCTGGAGAGTGCAATAGGTATGGCATTAATTTTTAAAACCATGCTCTGACCAGTGACTACTAACTGCTCAAAACATCCTTCTTCTGTTGCTAAAAAAAACAGCCAAATGGAAGAAGGAGAATAATTTATCTAATTATTTTTTCTTGTGCTGATTCAAACTGAAAGTTGAAAGGGCAAGGCTCAGCTTCTTGAAAATTTGAATATGGAAAAAAAAAAAAATCACAAAAACTGAACTGTAGAAATCCTAAGGACAAACTGAGAAATTCCTTATAAATTAAAACATAAAATGGAGTTTTCTTATTATCACATGAATAATGGTAGCTCAAGTGAGTTATTTTGCATCAGAAAGTATTTAATCTCATTACACAAAGGACATTTGAGAGAGTTACCACTCTGAAAATTCCTGACGTTGGCCATGTTACATGAGACTATTAGTATCTAGCACAATGTATATAAGAGAAAAAATAGATTTGATTCTTAATAGATATGTATTGCCATGGTTGCACTTTATTGTCAAAGAGATGGTGTTTTAACCAAGGATAACTAAAGAGATGGCTAATTTGCTCTAAAATCCTAACAGATAATTGGCTTAAATTTTTTTTACCTCTGCATAGGTATGTAAATTCAGCCTTGATGTGTTTGAGAGGAGGTGGCTATCAGTCCTGGCTACTTGGAATGATGTAAAAAACGAACCATACTCCTTTCCAGTAAAATTTTTACTCTGATCTACTTTGCTAGATTTACCTATCCTGTTATAAAAATACATTTCCTTCTCCTTCCAGGGTAGATGTAGTCTAAAATTGAATCAAGTAACCAGACTTTGTACAAAGAAGTAAGTGAAGTTGAGAGCAATGTTAATAAGCAATATCCTTTCCTCTACTTTGAAGAGCTTACAGTCCATCTGGTGAACAAACACTACAGGCTTATCTGAACTCCAACTCAGAGGCTGACTCATAGGCGGTTTAGAAGCACATTCTGTAATCAGTGAAAGACTAAGTTATTTCAGAGTGAAGATTTGCATTTTTCTTAAAAACAGGCATGTCCCTATCACATCAAAATTTAGATTTCAGATACATGTTATCAGGGTGAAGGAGAAAAAGGCCTATCTGGGAATGAATTGATTTGTGGAAGGATAGATATCTCTAATATACTCTGTCTTAAAATCTGTGAAGAATCCAGAACAAGCAGCAAATTTGTGTATATTCCTATGATTTCAAAAAATCATAGCACCTAAGGAATGTACCTTACGAATAGAAAAGATTGAAAATAGGCCATGAACATGAGCAGTGTTGTATGAGTAAACTGTAGTAGCAGCAGAGGTTTGGGCTTCTCCCCTAAGTGGCACAGGCACATTCCTTTTTTTTTTTTTTTTTCTTTTCCTTCTCTCACTAACCCGAACAACATACCACCCCTAATCATTTTAGTGAAGCATTGTGCATATGAAGGACATGCACCTTTTCCCTGGGAGGCTGGCAATCTTACTTGTCTATGCATCAAATCTGAAAGAGCAAAACAGGGTAGACAATTACTCTCTAATAATTTCACTGTCTCAGATTACAGTTCAGTGTCTGCTCTGCAACAACTTCCCAACTCCTTGCTTTTTATTTTTAAACACTGGTGTATTGCTATACATTAAAGGTAGGGGAATTGGATCTTGATTTTTTTGGAACCACAGCACCATCCTTAACTTACTCTGTGTTCTTCAATTATTTTAAGGTTTACATGTACATTCTTCACTCAGGTATACTGTACCACAAATATCCGCTATTCCTGCTTTTCATAAACACAACATTCCTTGCTATGTACTCATTTTATATCTAGCTTCCCTCCAAGTGAGTTATAAAAGCCCGGTTCTCTCTTAGTGTGCACTGGCAGAACTAAAGTCAATGGAGATGTGACCACTGTGTGCAAGAAATGCCTTTAGTTCTGATATTTTTGTAAAAGTCAAGATTCCAGCAAGCCATTCTTAATCCACTCTTGTTCCATTTTGCCACTTAATAGTTTGC